AGCTGTAATTATTATTGTCAATAGGGGTGTGTCCATTATTCTGATATAGTAATTATGGATTTAGAAAGTCCAGCCCCTCGTCCTCACAGTGGATCCTGGTCAGTGCAGTCTGAGTCAACAGGGTGGCGTGCACTAGGAGACACAGTGGTAGAAGTAGAAAAACACTTGATTCCTGCGTAACATAGATCAATATAATCTGTTGCTAAGTGATTTGGGAAAACAAAAAAGACACACAGAATGTAAGGATACAGTATACAGTTAAAAGAATATAATTAATTGAAGGACATTTTGTTAAAGTTGTACAACACCCAGTGAGGCCTCATTTACAACTGTGTACACTGTTGTTTAGACCTTGGTTATTGTGTATAATGTTTTGGGGACAAACAGATTACTGCTCTGCAGTTAGTCCAGAGGAGAGTAACCAGATACAGCCTTGGGCTCAAAAAGAGATCAAGCACTGAATGAAGCACGAATGTTTAACTCTGAGGGCTAAAAGAACTGTAGCCGTGCAATCTTGTAAGAGTGTTATTGACTATTTAGCTGAATAACGTTAGGAGTCTGTGCCTGTGCTGTTCACAGAGTCAAGCTGGATAGACCAGGGTCACCAATGTCCAGCTGTGTGTCCATAAAGAGTGACGGTTCAATGAATCAACCAATAGATTTCAGAGAAGGACCCATCGCCTCTGACCGCAGGTGAGGTCACTGTTGTCCATTGAGTGTATCTATCTGCTGGTCATATGATTGTGTGAACTGGATTATCTCCCACTTTCTTAATTTTAATGTGAAAACTTTAAGACAAAGACTTGACGGCTGAAAAAATGCTGAAAATAAAAACAAGATTCTACAGCTAATATTTTCTCATGATTACGGGATGAAACAGTGAGTATCCAGTGCAGACATGACCACAGACACACAGGGTGTGAGTAACATAGATTTGTTATTAAACATGGGAATGATGAGCAGTATAATGTAGTACCTGTATTTCTCAAAACAGATCAAAGACTAGAGTGAGCAAGAGGACACTTGGACACTCTGTCCATTTCCACAATAATGTCCAGCTGGTTTTATGGAGTTGAACTCCCTGTCAGTTGAATGGGCAGCAGATTGATGACAACTTGATGATGATGGTGGAGTTGGCAGCTGTAATTATTATTGTCAACTGGCCTCATTTAAAATTGTGTACAGTTTCGTTTAGACTATGGTCATTTTGTACAATGTTTAAGATACAAACAGATTAATGCTCTGCAATTAGTCCGGAGAAGAGTAAGCAGATTCAGACTTGGGCTCAAAAGAAATGTCTAATACTGAGGGTTCAAAGAACTGAACCTGTCCAATTTTATAAGAGGGTCCGATTCGAGATTATAGAATCCTAAAGACACTGGGGCACTCAACCGATTCACCAGAATCACTATGAAAAGTGATATACATTGTAAAGGACGTGTTAAAACTACAGAGAAGTGCTGAGAACAGGAGGCCCTCCTTTACACAAAAGCCTGTTAGAGTCAGGAACAAGCAGCCTAGCCATGTGGGTGATACTGACACACTGGTGTCTTTCGGGAAAAACACAGCCTGAGATCCTTGGATCAGTTGGTTAGTAACTACCAAACTGTCCAGAAAGACTCAATGACGTCCATTAATGACTGTGGTTTAGCTGTCTGAATCTGGAACACTACTTGGGTTACTGGATTTCAAATGGTCACATTCTGGTTGTACTGAATTCCTGTTGGTTTTACAAGATCTATGATTTAAATTGGACTATAGAAGGATTTAATATGTGATTTAATTGAATATATGATCTGAACTTGTGAAGGACCAGAGTAGAAAGGGATGAGTAGATCCCAGGTAAAATGTATTACTGATTTATCACTCAGATGTGCAGTATCACCAGCAACATGACCAATGTGTGACTTCAGCTGACCAGCTCTGCCTCTCCAGTAGAAACGTGACTCCAGGCTCTCTGAGCTGTTCCAGTTTGAAAAATCAGCAGAAACACCCTGGAGTTCAGGCTCATGTTCACACACTGGGA